TATTCGCAAATAGAAGTTGAAACAGCGCATACACTGACAACGAAAGTCAGCAGTGACAGCCAGCAGATGATTCTACATTCCCCTGACCAACGATGATAGACGCCATATGAATATCATATTAGGCTTCCATTGGAGTTCGAACATTTCTGGTTTTCACAACTAATTGTACTTACCATATGTTTGTGGACAGTTGAAACATAATTAAACGAATGACGACAAATGTGAAAACATTCTTCTTCATGGTAGTGAATACAAACACTTTAAGACCATGAATAATGTCAAATAGGATATATTTTCAAAGTATTCAACTGTATGAGCGACGTGTGCTACCGGTACAGGACTTGTTTACCCTTTTCGCTAACATCTAGTGTCATCACTAATTTCCATGATGATCAGTGATCCATTCATGTATTTTTGCCTTTTCAGTTCAATGGAATTCTGTTTCCTCGGAAAATCGAGACTGGTTGATTTCTGGTTTTGACGTATAATATTACATTTAAGAAGAAATTACTTTTGGCCCGATTTGAATGACGCTATAGTTTTATATTGTTATGTCGTTGTGTTTATTATGCGGCCCTGGACAGTTAAAATGCTTGTTTGGGTAATCCATTTGCTTTTACGTGCGCATCGGTCTATAACGTAATTTTAAATAATCGTCTAATGTTTTAAAAAAGGCCGGGGCGAAAAACAAAATAGGGAATCAGATGACACTTCTTTATCGAGTAGGGTTTTTTTCCGAGAGTGTTTCCGATTTCGAATAAATTTGAGGTATAGCGAGAGGGTTTCAAATACTTTCCCTTACTTTGATACTTCGAATGTGAATGATTAGCCAGAACTGATTTCTTTTACGAGGGATTCAAATTACAGATGACCCTGACATGGCAAAGCGTGAATTGCCATCATTTGTTTCCTGTGTATCGATCAATCGGACACCTGACGGATATTATCAGTACATAATTTAGAACGATAGATTGGGCTTGTATTGAGTATTTTCTCCATAAAGGGAGGGTTTATATCGGAAATAGTATATACAGTATTTAGAAGGTTAGATTCAGGAGGACACATTAGTGTTAATCCGATATTGACTTGTGTTGGATTTGCACCCAACGAAAACAATCATTGAATTCATTTTAATGTATTAAAGATTTGAATATGCGTTTAATCTATATATTTTGCTGAAATCCTTTTAAGTGATACCATTCATAGATTACCTAATTCCTACCACTGAATTATGAAATATTAACCAAGTGCAAATGTTCCCCACCTATTGGCATGCTGCTTGGTATACAGGTGTTTTGCTTGGTTCGCCAGTTGCTACACTCATTATGAGGAACACTCTGCCTCTACCTCCTATATGCCAGCTGTGGTTGCTTGGCAATTTGCCTTACTGTGGTAGTTTAGTAATTAGAAAAAAACTCGTTCTTGATCTAAAGGGAATTAGTCACTTTGATAGTGATTCATAAACACCTGCTTGTATATTTTATGAGAATCGTACAGCGGGCTCTGCTTTTGACATTTATTATGACTTTGGAATGGGTTGTATCAGTTTTATTGATTGTAATGTGACGAAGAATATTGATAAGGATGAGAATTTGTTTGGAAAATATTGAAACTACCAAAAGCACAATGACCATACACCCCGCTGTTGATAAACAGATCACATACAAGTACTAATGTCCGTACAGGCGTTTCAGCACTTGCTACTCTATAATTGTGACTCCTAATGTATTTCAGCCAGAAGTAAATGACAGGCCTGATATGCGTGGTTGATTCACACTATATCATTAACGTGGCGGTGGGCGGTAAAGTATATTTGTTATATTTCTTTTCATCATGTCTATACCCGCCGCAGCCAAGCCACGCTACATTTCAGATAAGGCAAACGTTCCTGTACACTTTTGCATGGGCAATAAACAGCGTAAAACATAATTGTTTTCGACTTATGCAGTCACACGCTTTATACATGTTTGTTATTCTACTTTCTGGGAGCCCTAATCGGGACAACTGACATGGACGATGCAAAGACTTGAATTGGATGTCCTAGCTGTGAGTCACGCATGATATAAATGGTATTGTAAAATACAAAAAAACACATTTCCATATTCGATAAGATGTAAGTAAGGATTAGTCATGAGGAGTAGACATTGACATGAGTATCCGAGACTACAGTTTGTGTTTCACTATAAATCCCCCTGTGCTCTCTCCCGCTACGCTCCTTGCCCTAAACCAGTGAAAATGAATGAATGAATGAATGAATGAAAGAATGAATGAATGAATGACTGTTATATCCGTGCATCCATTCTGTATGACGTTACCATCATATATAAGTCTATAAAGTAAAGAGTACCTTTTAAAATGTTTTTAAATATTTTAAACTGTCGACCCCCACGAGCCTGATTTGGTTGGATCGCTGGCAACGTGTGATAATGGGTGCCTCACTCTGAAATGGTGGGTTCGAATCCAAGATGGGACTCATCTAAATCATATAATTCGTACACAGGATGTGTAATCCCAAATATAACGCATGTAATATGGTATTGGTATCTTTGTGTCTAATTGGAAGACATTGATGGTGACGTCTAACGAGATGTTTCGTCCTGGGGTAGGTTTCGTCGCAGCTGATTTACGAGTCTCTGCAAAACAAGGCATAAGTAATAATGAGAAAGAGAACATGTCAGGTCAGGACGGAACAGAACAGAACTTCATTACACGCAGGCCGAAGACCTCTACATTCGAGCCGCGCGCGCTCACGCACGCACGCACGCACGCACGCACACACACACACACACACACACCTTTATTAATGATTATAGTGTATCTACAAAGTTTCTTCCCGACACTTTTGAAGAGGTATATTATTGGGGTATACAATTTTTGGCATCGTTAACGTGTGTACATTTAAAAACATAACATTATTCATCATCAACATCGTTCAACTTATAACTACGATCACATATTGGAACCAGTCCAGTCTTAATGGGGCAACTGGTAAGCTTTGACATGATGAAGTAAATCAGAAGATGAATGGAACGGACTATTTCTAAATATGAATCAAGTTTTAAAGATTATTGTCAATATGAATTTGCAAGACCGGCCTTCCATGTTTGCCTGTTTACATTATGTAGTTTGCGGGAAAGGGTTACTTTAACCAGAAGGATGATATGAAGATCTGTGCCAACCAAACATAGCTCAGGTGAGTTCGATCTAAAATATTTTGAATAAAAGTGAGCTATTTATATATTTCACCATTGGTATTTGCATCTTTATTCAAGACCATGTATAATATATATGGCAAATTATTACATTTTCCAGATTGTATTTTCATAAAAACGTGATTATTCTGATGTTAATATCTTCTCGTAAAAAAATCTGTTTTCAAACTGTGAATTACAATCCAGCTAAGAAAATGTACATATTTCATCATATACATTGCAAAGATTAGGATTAAATAGGATTAAAAATACACACATAGACCCACGAAACGATATAAAATTGTTTTAAGAAGTAATCACACAAATCACTCCTGTCCCTGCTGCAGTGACGCTGTTTCAGCTATGTTCAAAAACTCAGGTGTGAGCTGGAAATATAAATAGATTCAGACACAAGCGTCGATAACTTCAGCCTAATCTTTATTGATCGTGCAATGGAGGCCATCTAAAATGTATTTTTGGATCCACCATTTGACGTTGATAGTTGGAAACCCAACGCATTTGCATGAATACATGGACCGTATGGCATAATACTTTATTAAGGCACATATTAGTCATTCGGTGAATTTTTCACACAGATCAGCTATCAAACAACATCACTAAAGTAAGAAGTATTAGTTTTCCAATTGATACATTTGTAAATAATTTTGTAGACTTAAAAGAAGCACTACTCAAATACACGTCCCTGCGTCCCCGTGGAATACATCCTTAACAGCCATTAACAGGAGACTAACATCTCGTCTTTGAAATGAACATATTTCAGAAAAATAGTTCTTAAATTCTCTTCATAAAATTTAATAACAGGAATCCCAGAGTCTTTCTACTTCTATAAACTGTGGTTTTCTAGACTTGCCACATACTAGTATTCTAGACTAGACACCATAGACTGTATTGTGTATATAATTGCGTCAGGGTTTGTATGACAGACTACACTACCCGGGATGACCGAGATACAATGATGATATCCCAGTGGAGATGTATGACACAAGATGCATTTGTGTTCGGGTTATTCCTGCAATGGCAATTGCGATCGTTATACATTCATAACGTGCAATGCAATCAGTGGACATCGAGGTAGATTATTCTAGACATATGTACACAATGATAAATGCAGGAAACAACTCACCAGTCTGTAGTTAAGTCTCCAACAGAGGGTTGTGTGCACTGTCCTGTATGTGGAGAGTTTACTGAATCTCCATAGTACTATGTGTTCTATATGCAGTTCTAACATCGATCAGCACTAGTCATAAGTATACACATGACGTGGATCTCCAAATGGATGTGGTTAAATATATGGCTTGTGTAATGTGTCGAGTTTCTTGTCAGCAAATAAATAACACTTCAGTGATTTTTCTGGATATCCATGAGCTTCCACACATTTGACAGAATCTCTTCACATATTTGATCTGAACAGAAGAATGATTCAAACGGGGTATGAGCCGTGATTGTACACACGTGATACAATCACAACAGAAGCATATGTGGTCAGATGTCAAGTTCGATTGTCAAAGTAGACAGTAAAAGATAAGATAGCTGAAATATGTTGTTGTATAAAGGAAACCCACACAGATAGTGCAAGTGTGGAAGTAAATGTCACAAATAAATTGACCATTCGAACATTGTTGCCGTGACACATGGTATCTGGTGGTGTATTCTCAGTACTGGAGGGTGCAACTCCAGATTTGTTTCTTGTTGTGTACATGTGTCACCCAACAATAATATAAGTTTATATATTTTTTAACATATCGGAAAGCATGAGTATTATTGAACAACACCAAATTAAGACTCCACTTACAAACACAATATATTTATTTGCGGAGGAAGAAGAGGGTTTTTCAAATGGAAGAAGTACAGAACGCGATAAAGCTTAAACCAGAATGAATCAAATTTGCACGAAACGTTTGATCGTTTTGTGCTATTTTGAATGTGTGGATTTTAAGAAACATATATCCTTCATGCGCTTCATAGGTTGGGGGTTGGCTTTCGGCCAGGAACTAGTAAGCCAAACGATAATTTCACAATAAAAAAAAAAACAGCATCCAGATGTTCAGGACATAATTTTTTTAACAGCTTCGCAAGTCATAAGGTACGTGTTTTCGTGTGATCAGTAAGTGACACGATCTACACAGGTATAGATGGTTGTAGTTTTATCCCAGTTCCATGCAGGCACCGTGTTAGGGGGTCAGTGACCTCAGTAGGTCCTGATACTCCCTCTAATGGGTCGGTCACACACCACACAACTGCTCACGGATGCCCCGCAGACATCACAACACACCACGTGTCCACAGGGAAGAAACACCAGACAAATGTCCTTCTGCCCACATGACCGACACTTCCCATACTTCTGGTGAGAGGCATGATGGGTTCTTGTACGGTATCCATGTTTGACTGGATCAGCCGACATTCCCCTGGGTGTACCTTTCGTCAGCAAACACACATGCATTAACATAACCTCTCTGCACAAACCACATCACATACCATCATATAAATGTAGTCAAGGGAACGATATGTTCTATGAAGGGAGTGTCTGGTCCCGACTTGATTATTTACAGACCCAAGCCTTATGGCTGGAACATTGCTGAGTGCGACGTAAAACTAAACTCACTCACTCTATGTAGGTGTGCGATGGACACATGTTCATCAATCCTCTGATGGGAAATACATACATAGACAACGGAGGTAGTCTGTCTCATATTACTTCCCCTTCCACCCTGGCCTTTATGCAATGCCTTACCCCTAAATGGAGCAAAATTAGATTTTCTCAGCTCCCAGTTCACTGGAGCTCCTTTTCAATTTAAAAGGAATTGTTTGTTTGTTCCAAAATTATATATATTCAGAGACTAAGCGTTAGCTTAACGACTGAGGTAGTCTTGCAATCGAAACGAATGCTTACCTAAGGGAGATAACTCGTCGTTGCCTGTAGAGTCTGCCTGAGATGTGTGACTGTTGTGACTGACGAACCTCCTCGCACTGGAGGATCGAACAGACACGAGGCTGTATATTTAGCACGACGTCATCAGTATAACTAGCTCTGGTTTCCCTTCTTCATGAGTGACTGATCCCTGTACAACCAATGAACTACACACACAGGTGATACAAAGGGCATATGAGAAAGTGTGTTGTGATAGTTCACGGGAAGGCTTATCCTTGATGTAGTAGACTGGATAAGTGCATTAGTTCTCATGAGAAGTTCGACAGATCTTCATTCCAAATACCTCAAATTCCATAACCTATTTTTCATATTTTCTAAAGAAAATTTACGAATGACAAAATGAAAACAAAACAGAGATAAACAGCAAAAACAGATATTGGAACCTTTCTCTGGTCGTCAAAATACATCCAGGATTATATTACGTGAACCCATACGAATATGCATACATAGCAGTTGTTTGTTTGTTTGTTGTTCAACGCCGCACTCAGCAATGTTCTAGTATATATATAGTTAGTGAGTGAGTTTAGTTTTACAACTCAGCAATATTCCAGCTATATAGCGGCGGCCTGTAAATAAGGAGTCTGGACCAGACAACCAAGTGATCAAGAGCATGAGCATCGATCTACGCAACTGGGATACAATGACATGTGTCAACAAAGTGAGCGAACCTGACCACCCGATCCCGTTAATCGGCTCTTACGACAACCACGGGTTGCTGAAGGTCAATTCTAATTGCACAGCATAGACTGTATTGTGTATATAACTGCGTCAGGGTTTGTATGACAGACTACACTACCCGGGATGACCGAGATACAATGATGATATCCCAGTGGAGATGTATGACACAAGATGCATTTGTGTTCGGGTTATTCCTGCAATGGCAATTGCGATCGTTTTACATTCATATCTTACAATGCAGTTAGTGGACATCGAGGTAGATTTTTGTAGACATATGTACACAATGATAAATGCAGGAAACAACTGACCACGCTGTAGGTAGTCTCCAACAGAGGGTTGTGTGCACTGTCCTGTATGTAGAGAGTGCACTGAATCTCCATAGTACTATGTGTTCTATATGCAGTTCTAACATCGATCAGCACTAGTCATAAGTATACACATGACGTGGATCTCCAAATGGATGTGGTTAAATATATGGCTTGTGTAATGTATCGAGTTTCTTGTCAGCAAATGAATAACACTTCAGTGATTTTTCTGGAGACCCATGAGCTTCCAAACATTTGACAGAATCTCTTCACATATTTGATCTGAACAGAAGAATGATTCAAACGGGGTATGAGCCGTGATTGTACACACGTGATACAATCACAACAGAAGCATATGTGGTCAGATGTCAAGTTCGATTGTCAAAGTAGACAGTAAAAGATAAGATAGCTGAAATATGTTGTTGTATAAAGGAAACCCACACAGATAGTGCAAGTGTGGAAGTAAATGTCACAAATAAATTGACCATTCGAACATTGTTGCCGTGACACATGGTATCTGGTGGTGTATTCTCAGTACTGGAGGGTGCAACTCCAGATTTGTTTCTTGTTGTGTACATGTGTCACCCTACAATAATATAAGTTTATATATTTTTTAACATATCGGAAAGCATGAGTTTTATTGAACAACACCAAATTAAGACTCCACTTACAAACACAATATATTTATTTGCGGAGGAAGAAGAGGGTTTTTCAAAAGGAAGAAGTACAGAACGTGATAAAGCTTAAACCAGAATGAATCAAATTTGCACGAAACGTTTGATCGTTTTATTCTATTTTGAATGTGTGGATTTTAAGAAACATATATCCTTCATGCGCTTCATAGGTTGGGGGTTGGCTTTCGGCCAGGAACTAGTAAGCCAAACGATAATTTCACAATAAAAAAAAAAACAGCATCCAGATGTTCAGGACATAATTTTTTTAACAGCTTCGCAAGTCATAAGGTACGTGTTTTCGTGTGATCAGTAAGTGACACGATCTACACAGGTATAGATGGTTGTAGTTTTATCCCAGTTCCATGCAGGCACCGTGTTAGGGGGTCAGTGACCTCAGTAGGTCCTGATACTCCCCCTAATGGGTCGGTCACACACCACACAACTGCTCACGGATGCCCCGCAGACATCACAACACACCACGTGACCACAGGGAAGAAACACCAGACAAATGTCCTTCTGCCCACATGACCGACACTTCCCATACTTCTGGTGAGAGGCATGATGGGTTCTTGTACGGTATCCATGTTTGACTGGATCAGCCGACATTCCCCTGGGTGTACCTTTCGTCAGCAAACACACATGCATTAACATAACCTCTCTGCACAAACCACATCACATACCATCATATAAATGTAGTCAAGGGAACGATATGTTCTATGAAGGGAGTGTCTGGTCCCGACTTGATTATTTACAGACCCAAGCCTTATGGCTGGAACATTGCTGAGTGCGACGTAAAACTAAACTCACTCACTCTATGTAGGTGTGCGATGGACACATGTTCATCAATCCTCTGATGGGAAATACATACATAGACAACGGAGGTAGTCTGTCTCACAGTCCCTCAACCATATTACTTCCCCTTCAACCCTGGCCTTTATGCAATGCCTTACCCCTAAATGGAGCAAAATTAGATTTTCTCAGCTCCAAGTTCAATGGAACCCCTTTTCAATTTAAAAGGAATTGTTTGTTTGTTCCAAAATTATATATATTCAGAGACTAAGCGTTAGCTTAACGACTGAGGTTGTCTTGCAATCGAAACGAATGCTTACCTAAGGGAGATAACTCGTCGTTGCCTGTAGAGTCTGCCTGAGATGTGTGACTGTTGTGACTGCCGAACCTCCTCGCACTGGAGGATAGAACAGACACGAGGCTGTATATTTAGCACGACGTCATCAGTATAACTAGCTCTGGTTTCCCTTCTTCATGAGTGACTGATCCCTGTACAACCAATGAACTACACACACAGGTGATATAAAGGGCGTATGAGAAAGTGTGTTGTGATAGTTCACGGGAAGGCTTATCCTTGATGTAGTAGACTGGATAAGTGCATTGGTTCTCATGAGAAGTTCGACAGATCTTCATTCCAAATACCTCAAATTCCATAACCTATTTTTCATATTTTCTAAAGAAAATTTACGAATGACAAAATGAAAACAAAACAGACATAAACAGCAAAAACAGATATTGGAACCTTTCTCTGGTCGTCAAAATACATCCAGGATTATATTACGTGAACGCATACGAATATGCATACATAGCAGTTGTTCGTTTGTTTGTTGTTCAACGCCGCACTCAGCAATGTTCTAGTATATATATAGTTAGTGAGTGAGTTTAGTTTTACAACTCAGCAATATTCCAGCTATATGGCGGCGGCCTGTAAATAAGCGAGTCTGGACCAGACAACCAAGTGATCAAGAGCATGAGCATCGATCTACGCAACTGGGATACAATGACATGTGTCAACAAAGTGAGCGAACCTGACCACCCGATCCCGTTAATCGGCTCTTACGACAACCATGGGTTGCTGAAGGTCAATTCTAATTGCATAGCATAGACTGTATTGTGTATATAACTGCGTCAGGGTTTGTATGACAGACTACACTACCCGGGATGACCGAGATACAATGATGATATCCCAGTGGACATGTATGACACAATATGCATTTGTGTTCGGGTTATTCCTGCAATGGCAATTGCGATCGTTTTACATTCATATCTTACAATGCAGTTAGTGGACATCGAGGTAGATTTTTGTAGACATATGTACACAATGATAAATGCAGGAAACAACTGACCACGCTGTAGGTAGTCTCCAACAGAGGGCTGTGTGCACTGTCCTGTATGTGGAGAGTGTACTGAATCTCCATAGTACTATGTGTTCTATATGCAGTTCTAACATCGATCAGCACTAGTCATAAGTATACACATGACGTGGATCTCCAAATGGATGTGGTTAAATATATGGCTTGTGTAATGTATCGAGTTTCTTGTCAGCAAATGAATAACACTTCAGGGATTTTTCTGGAGACCCATGAGCTTCCACACATTTGACAGAATCTCTTCACATATTTGATCTGAACAGAAGAATGATTCAAACGGGGTATGAGCCGTGATTGTACACACGCGATACAATCACAACAAAAGATAAGATAGAAGCATATGTGGTCAGATGTCAAGTTCGATTGTCAAAGTTGACCGTAAAAGATAAGATAGCTGGAATATGTTGTTGTATAAAGGAAACCCACACAGATAGTGCAAGTGTGGAAGTAAATGTCACAAATAAATTGACCATTCGAACATTGTTGCCGTGACACATGGTATCTGGCGGTGTATTCTCAGTACTGGAGGGTGCAACTCCAGATTTGTTTCTTGTTCTGTACATGTCACCCAACAAGAATATATATATATATATCATTTAACATATCGGAAAGCATGAGTATTATTGAACAACACCAAATTAAGACTCCACTTACAAACACAATATATTTTAATGGCGGAGGAAGAAGATGCTTTTTCAAAAGGAAGAAGTACAGAACATGAAAAAGCTTAAACCAGAATGAATCAAATTTGCACGAAACGTTTGATCGTTTTATTCTATTTTGAATGTGTGGATTTTAAGAAACATATATCCTTCATGCGCTTCATAGGTTGAGGGTTGGCTTTCGGCCAGGAACTAGTAAGCCAACGTAATTTCACAATAAAAAAAGCAGCATCCAAATTTTCATGACATAATTTTTTTAACAGCTTCGCAAGTCATAAGGTACGTGTTTTCGTGTGATCAGTAAGTGACACGATCTACACAGGTATAGATGGTTGTAGTTTTATCCCAGTTCCATGCAGGCACCGTGTTAGGGGGTCAGTGACCTCAGTAGGTCCTGATACTCCCTCTAATGGGTCGGTCACACACCACACAACTGCTCACGGATGCCCCGCAGACATCACAACACACCACGTGTCCACAGGGAAGAAACACCAGACAAATGTCCTTCTGCCCACATGACCGACACTTCCCATACTTCCGGTGAGAGGCATGATGGGTTCTTGTACGGTATCCATGTTTGACTGGATCAGCCGACATTCCCCTGGGTGTGCCTTTCGTCGGCAAACACACATGCATTAACATAACCTCTCTGCACAAACCACATCACATACCATCATATAAATGTAGTCAAGGGAACGATATGTTCTATGAAGGGAGTGTCTGGTCCCGACTTGATTATTTACAGACCCAAGCCTTATGGCTGGAACATTGCTG